TTTTGTTCTGGGAGCAAGGAGTCTTGAGCGATTTCTCTCTTACGTAAGCGCAAATTGAAAATGTACCGCCAAAATCAAAGAGAGGAACAAATTTCCATTGTTTTGACATGTAAATTGTCGAACAAGGAGCAGATTGAACCTCGTAAAATGGCTAGTCAAAACAGCCACACCTTCCTCCTTTTGCTCGTTTCCTGTTTTATAAGCGCGAAAGCAGTGGGAGAAGAATCGGGTAGCTCGGAAAGCGCTTCAGGTATTAATTTACCATCGTTTACTTACGAGATAAACAAGTAAGATTTGTAAAGTTATTTTCCGAAAGAGTCGGAATAAATAAATTTTTTTCAAGTTAGATTGCTGTTTTTACCCTAAACGTCGTCCAATAAATTTTTGTTTCAGCCTACTAATCTATACAATCTCGAAGGAAAATATTCAGATGGTTCACCGTCCTCGAAGGGTCTCCACTCATCGAAGCGTGTACTGTAGCCAATGTGGTGAATTTTCAGTCTCTTGTTGGGTTTGTCAACCTACGTGACTTCAACATCATACAATTTTGTATCTTTTCTCTGTGAAATTACCTTTTTAACAGGGGTGTATACTGAGTATTCGTTGCAGAATCGCTTTGGTTCTCTTATCTCTCTCTTTGGCTTCTCCGCCATTTTGAAAATTTGCTTAGGAGGGGATCTGGGTTAGCGGCCGCGCCAGGCTGGAACCGAAAAAAACAAATGTCCATCGCAGTGAGGAAACAGTTTGATATGAATTTGGTTAGAGCGCGCTGACGTCGCTTCCCTTCTTTCTTCTCTCCGCTGCTTCAATCGGGTTCCGTTTCATAAACTTAACGCCGGGAACAAGCCATGATTCTTGTGTATTTTCTAGAAATATCTTATAACCGTAATGACGGCACCACTTTTGTGTCTACTTGGCCTATCTGAGCACAACACGGGTCGGGAGAATTCTGTAAAGTTCTGCAAACTCGAGAATTCGTTCCGGTCAGTTTGCAAACCCACAGCCGAGCGGTTCAAGCTATTCTAATGTAGCCGAGTCAATATATGTGCGTTCTTGATCAAGCGTGAGGTGGAATGTGGATGTGTATTGAATGAGTTCTTTTCCTTTTTTGTGGGAAAAAAAGAAAGAGGCTAATATCCAGCCATCTTCACCTAACAAGCTTGGCCAATAAAGGATTTATCAATGTGTAGCAAAGAGATCATCGCTTCACTCTAAGAAGCAAGACTTTTTTATTTCGAGAGACGGGAAAGAAAGTCAACCGTGTTCGTGGCACAATAAACACACGAGAGTCGTTTTATTTTTTCTTTCTTTCATTTGACTGTTTTCCGCTTCTTTATGCAACTTTATCGCCGACATTGTCAACAAATTAGGAAGTTTCTAAGTCCGCTCATGGACGTTATTTTTAATGCGCGGAATCAAAGCGGGTAATCCCGAGCGGGCAAGATGGCCAATATGGACGATTCGCTTTAATTTGCCCACGGGCGCAGTCTGCAATATAATCAACGAGGTTGTTCACGGCGTGTCGGTTACAAATACACTGTTGCTTGTTAGATAGGCAATATTATTTTAAAGGTGTAAAAAACTTTGGATTTCCGCTGTCTAAACCTAAACGTTTATAGTGAAGTTCCAAGAATTTCGCCCACAAAAAATAATATATCAGAAACGAGTCTCCCGAGAAAATGGTTAGTGTGCTAGCATTTTCGTGGAGTAGAGAGCCTGATCAGAAAATTTCTGAAGATTCCCCGAATATTTTTAATGTTTTTCTGACGAGTGCACACGTTTGTCTCCCGTTCTCTCACTAAAGCAGCAACCAATTTGGATTTTATGGTAGGTTCCATTTGGTTGACCAGAAAGGTATTTGACGTTTGATTTTGAAATAATCTAACTAAAGAGAAAAGTACCTTAAAAAATAGCAATAATCTTAAACTCTAATGTCAACTTTACAAATGTTCGCTCACAATATAAATAATTATTTACAAATCCTCAAATGTTTATAAATCTCCGAATCCGGAATCGCGTTCGGCTGCTACACACTAAGATGTACAAAAGTGTAAACATTGGAGACCACATAGAAAAAGTATCTCTTGCTTCGATACAAATAATTTAATATCTGAACATTTTAATTCGTTCAATGGCGCTCAATTAAATCCTCCCCGAGCTCAGTGTTGGTGGAGAGCATCAAGCCTCTGAAAAAGAAAAGCATCCTGTAAAATTTGAAAACATAATTAACTTTGTCCTTAAGTATTTTGAATAACTTGGTATTCCTTAAAATGATAATAAAACGAAAACAATGATAAAACATGGCTCTACAGGAACGCCTTTCATTTAAGATGCACGAGACGTAAAGGAGGAAATCATGGGTTAAAGAAGAATTTTAAACTGCTTTCCTGCGGTCATTTCGCACTTTCGCTTTTCCAAGACTTCGTTGCGGCCACGTTTCTAAGCGTCCTTAATGGAATATATTTCAAGCATATTTGATAACAATTTTTTGAACGGTTGTATGTATTCTTCAACGGCATCGCTAATAATGATACGCTTTCTAGAGCTTACTTCTCCCATTATTGTGCCGTTTGCTTATTGTTAAAATACAACTTTAAAAGGGCTAACAAAAGCTTACCCCGAAGACTTGAAGTGCTTCATCCTTCTCAGGAAGAGCTGGTGTCGAACTTGTCAGCGCAAGAAGCCTTGTTACCAGTTTTCTCCTCTCTTTCGTTCAGGTCGCTCTTAAGAGCGAGAATGAGCTTTCACAATGTTTCCAAGTTATATTTTCCAAAGCTTAACTATTTACCACGTAAACTTTCTTCACTTGGCAGGTTACTGACAAGTTTTTTGAATTGACAATCTAATCTGTTTCATTTTCATAGAGGAACTGCACCTGTATCGCTTGTTTCGTCTTCGCTTATTTCTTCAGCACGCCTGTTCTTGTCAGCCATTGAATTCTGATCAAAGTTCATGTTTCTCTCACCCAACAGCGGATCTGGTTGCTGATTATTCACTTCAAGTAAACCTTGTACACACACGCCAAAAAAACAGTAACATGATATAATTTTTTTTTATTTACTTAAGAGGGAAACCAATACTAATAACAATATCAATAATAATACTAATGATAATAAAATACTTGTAATAAATAAAAATAACAAAGATAATTAGAACACACATACACATGCTCAAAAGTTAATCCACCTCAGGAACTTTCTGTTGTCACATCATATAAACCTAGAAACCGCTTTTTACCAAAACAAATATATGTAACTGATTACTGCTTCAAAACTGTCTAAAATATGGAGAACAAAGGCCAAAATGTTTTGGATAACTCAGGGGGTTAAATGAAGTACGAGGTCTTCCTTCATAAATTAATATCGTGACTTGAACTTTTCAAAGTCATCAGCATAGGGCGACCTCCAAAATACCTCTTAGCCCCCCCTTTGGAAAGACAACCTTATCAACGAAAGACTGCTAGGTCTTACCATTCCTACCTCTTTCCTGTGCACTGAATCGTGGCTCAGGTTCCGGACTGTCAAGGTCTTGACCACCTAAAAAGTCCAAGCCGGTTTTGAGAAGGTATAATTCACTTCCTTCCTTTGTTTGTTTGTTTTGCTCAATGCCAATAGGGTCGTAAACCACCGCTAATGGGTAGTTTTCAGCGAAATCTAATCAAAGGGGGAAACAATAGACATTATCAAAATCTCATTTTAAGAGCTGCTTTATGAGAAATCCTTTTAACACTTTAATGGAAATAACTTTTTCGTGTCTCAATGAAGTCCATCGAATGAACTCTTTAATAATAACTACAAAACAAAATGTTGTAATAGTTTTGTTATAATTTCGATTGATAGCAGGCGGAAAAAACTTTCATGGAGGTGACCTCTTTCAGTAAACTGCACATAACTCTGCACACCCCTAAAAGGTGACTATGTTGAAAAAAATACGTACCTTTGTTGAAAGCCGTTCGGGGCTTGTCTTCGGTATCAGAATCAGAAGTTTCAGAGTCAGACGATGTATCAACATCGCCTAAATAGCCGTGAAGTCGTCCTTCTTCTTCCTCAGCAGCTTTCACAGGTTCTAACCGATTGACTGTTTGGGAGAACTCTTGATTGGCCTTAATTTCTTCAGAGAATCTACGCAGTAACGAAAAAAATTAAATTCTGATTAAAAAACGCAAATTCCTCATTCACTCTGCAGACTGATAGTGGTCGAAACTCTTTACGGTGGCCAAGGTACACTATAAACTCGCTTGATAAAACCAAATCATCATGTTATGGTCCCCACCGAGGCAGCACCACGGTTTCTTAAGAAACTTTATTCTTTCATCCTAACCACATTGATTCTTCTGATAACTATTTAAATCTGACAGTTCACGAAAGGTCTTGCGAAACAACATGTTTAGCAAACTTGAGACCAGTCTTTTTTCTATCTAGTAGAGCTGGATACTCTTAGCACCTTTTGCATATTTCCAAGATGTAATTGGTCACAGACTCGGGCAATATCTTTTCTTCTTTGTGGGCTAAAAAGACTGCCCTTCCTGCAGGGGAGTTGAAGAACATTTTAACCAACTGTCGGACATCAGATTTTGCTGCTGTATTAACCAACAAGCGTGACACTTGGTTCGGTTGTGAAGATCCTAGAGGAAGTGATAGAGTTTGGATAAGTTTACCGAAAAAAAAAAAAAATGAAAATCAGAAAGGAACTGGTTTTCATTCACATGCTAATTAAACTCACTTTCACAAGAATGGTTGAATACCAAGCCTCGTTTTGAAAAAAGAGGCTATGGGTAATTCGGGAATGGCCGATAACTAACAAACCTGCGGCCTCCTATTACGGTACAATAAGCCTTTGATACATTGAAATAAAAAAAAAATGCTCCAAGTTAAATTGAAAAAACAAGGTCACCCTGAACACCAATCTCGAAAAAACAAAAAAAAAACCTGCCGTTTCTCCACCACGGCCTCTATCTTCTGCCCTTAAACATGAGGGCGCGCTATATAAGGAAGTCTTCCCTGGGAAGACCTAGGCTCATTTGTCACTCACCGTTGACGTGTGCGGGTCAAATTCAAATAACGGTAGACGAACAAAAAGAGCTAATGAGATATCTATTGTTTACTTCCACCAGCATGGTGGCATGAGGTAAGGTGCGGACCACCTACTTCGATCTCAAATTTACCGCCACAAATAAAGACAGTTTCCATTGGAGAAAGGAAATACAAATCTCAAAAATTCTTGTATTGTGATGAAGACATAAAACAATTTTGAGGAATGCGCCCGCTGTCGACTGCTTTGGAGTAGCTGTAGCTCAAGCTGACTTGACTCTAAGAGTTCTACATCACACGACGGTTGATTGACAAATGGTCCAGTGGGACATAAGGCTCCTTTTATAGCGCGCCTTCGTGTTTAAGATGGACGTTATGAGGAGGTCAGACTCATGTTTTGGAAAAGAAAAACCTTCGAGCTCAAGAGGATAATCGCTATCTAGAAGTATTTAAAAATAGTTACAGAACGTACCTGCCGAAGGTTGCGGTGAATCTTGTCTTTCAGTTCTCCCCATTTTAACAGCCATACTATCAGCACAATGGCGGAAAAAATCGCTCATTGATTTTGGATCGACAACCAGTTGACTCAGTACTTTACGAAGAGGATCGTAATATGAGAAATAAGTCTCTCCACAAAATATTCCATTCGATTGCACTATAACTCTTACAGGGCCAGGCACATCAGATGCTAGGACACAAAATCAAAAATACATACAGTTAAAAAAAAAAACGTAAAATGAAGGAAAGGAGGAAGTGTATCTAATCATTTTCTAGTAATTAGGCATTAAAAACGTACCCGGAATTTTACCCGTCAAGTTAAATCCATTAATTCTTGTCAAGTCAACAACCTTGTCTCCAAAGTAAGCTCGGCCAGACTCTACATCAGGTGGGAGATCATTCTCAAAAACCAGGATAAATGGACCTCCACCCTGAAAGAAACGCATGCCACTCGTTAAATTTATCTTAGAAAGCCAAGTTTTTTAAGACAATGTACGCTCCATATGTTTTCTGGAATATAATTTTACTTTCGGTGGAAACCCTAAGAACGTAAGAACACAAAATCGAGAGACATTTAAATATTCGAAAAAGTATTCAATAAAGTTAAGTTCAAGCGCAAAAACGAGGAACAATACTACAAAAAAGGAAATTCTTTACCTCAAGAGGCCCTTCATCTGGGATGATTCTTACTAAAACAAACATACATTACTTGATTAGTTGGTGTTAACAGCATATTTCAAAGGCTAGCTCAAGTTTTACAGACCCTCCAAATCACTGTTGATATGGGTTTGAAAACTTACTCAGTGGAGCCTCCACCGAGGGGACAACCTTAGCACTAGAAAAGGAGTAGCTCAGATAGAGGTGTTTTCTCAGCGAAGGAACAGTTTTAGCGGAACCTTTATACAGGGACCAAATAAAAACCACAAAAAGAGTCTCGCTCGAAGAGGGTGTTGCTTAATAAGAGGTTTCTCAAATAAAAGCTCTGACTTAGGAGATTACTTTAACAAAGTGAAATAATCTTGCATGTTGGCACAGGTAAGCCAGTAGGTACCTTCAGATTTTTCAGATCCTTCGAATCCTAAATCTTCTAACGTCAGTGGCTGTAAAACAAATAATGTAAAGGGTTAAAATTGTAATTCTGAATTAGATCCAAAGACAGATTTGGAAATTTCAAATTGTAATGATGTAGAAGCAATATTTAACTGTTGATTTAAAAAAATTACAAAAGAATGAAATTATTTACCGCAGAGGGACCTTGTTCTGGGTGGGTATCTGAAATACCTATAAACAACAAAGGTTACTTGGTTACGTTGGCGTGAACAGAGCATGAAATAAAATGCCTTTATTTGGGGGAAAAAGCACTTAAAAAAGGTATTTTCAACTAAGCGTCGAAAGTAATTCCGCCTTGCACATAAAGAGAAGTTTTCAAGTGAGTATCGAAAGTAATCTTCGGATGCTTGTTTTGGTTTTGCTTTACTTCACTCTGAGATTGGTCTAGAAAACTTGCTCCACTTTCTCAACCAATCAAATGCAAAAACTGAAACCAATCCCACCTTGGTCATTCGCGTTTTCCCGCGCTTTAAGCCGGTTGCCTGTTTTTACGTTGAATTTTCATTGGTTGATAATGATATGTAATCTTTGTTCTGATTGGTAGTTGTGACTACTTTGGTTTGGGTTTTTCAACACTCCATTGAAAACTGAAAACTTCTCTTATCCCTTATTGAGCATGCTATTGGTCTTCAAAAAAAAAAACACTTGCTCCACAATGAAATCTAGAGCTAAACCAAGGGGAGGATTGGTAATTCACAGTTCCGGCATTCGAGGTTTTATGTTATTAAATATACTAGAATTTACCTTTGGCTACTTTATATGTCTAAGTTTTTTCTGATCGGCCTTTGAGATTCCTTTGGTTTCGGCTTTAAGACACTCGATCTTTTAAGTGTACTTACCTAAGGCCATCTCGACATCTCCTTGTTCCTGCTGTAAGAGAAGACACCAACTCAGCTAACATGCTACTTCGAACATATTCACCTCTGTGTTAACATTTACGTCATTATAAAATGCCGAAGACATACTTATACTCGTAATCGACGAAGTTTAAATACTTCGAGCAAAGGATAGTTGGAAAACAATTCAGAAGGGCATTCCCGAGTCTTCCAAAACTTTAACTTTTCATCGCATTAAGCTTCTGTGCCTTTTATTGGAAAATAAGTCCCTGAGGACACCAAGAAATCCATGGACTGTTTTTCAGGTCGAGTATCTGAAAACGTTTTAAGGGATTTCAGAGAAAAGTGGGAAAGTCTTTACCTCAATAGGACCCCCACTGAGAGAGAATCCTACAATATGAAAAAAAACAAGTTACATTTGTTCAAGATGAAATACTTCAATTAAAACAAACCAACAAACAAACATACTCAGAAGTCAGAGCATCTAAAAAAGACCCTCCAAGTTCGAATGTGGAATTTACACCAATAGGCTTGGTCGCTCAGCTCTCCAGCGTCTGAAATTGTATGATACCTAGCCGACCGATTATTTCGGAGATCATTTTTAGTTTCAGGACACTCGATAAGAAAGCACTTTCTTTGAAATATCCTTACCTGAAGTATTCTTGACATTTTCTTGCGCCTGCAATCAGAGGAGACTCCAAGTCAGCTACTTCGAGCACATTTGCGTTTCGTGTTATGTAACTCATGTTAGAGACATACATGAAGGCATAATTTAGAACGTTTTTGTATTTGGGGCACAGAATACTAAGGAAAGCGTTCAAAACGGTATATCTCCCAATGAATTCACAGTTATTCATACTGTCAGTCGAAAGTAGGAAGCCACAAAATTAATGTAAAAGCTACAGCGAGGGAGGGATTACATTAAATTAACAGGAAAAAAAGGTTGATAATTTGAAAAAGTTTCTAGATTTCTAGGAATGAAAAAAACATCGCAATATAATAAAGCAAATCGAGCTCTGAGTAGAGAGAAGATTAAGAGGGAGCGTAAAAAATGTGATTAACAAAACCTGTAAAGTAAACTTAACAGAAGAGAAAAGAGGCTAAAAAGTTTTGGAAGTAATGAACATCTACTGAGAAATCAAGCCACATGGTCACTGGGAGGGGGTTTGGAAAAAATGTAAGTAAAAACAAACCTTTTGTGCAGCAGCGACTATACTAAGAAGTGAGAGACCACTCTGGCAAACAAACAAACAGAACAAAGATAAAATTGCTGACATCCTAATGAATCATGACAGTTAGGAGAAAGATCCAAATTTAATTATAACATAACCAAATAACGTGCGCGCGCGCTCTGATTGGTCAATTCAGCTTCCACCATATGCCCATGGGTGTACGCTGCTGACGTGAGCAAATGCAAAGGCTAGTTTTTCGCACGCGCGTGTTTTTTCTGGTCACCTAAGGGCCCGTCCATACTAACACGGATTCGTTCGAATCCGTTTACTTTTTGATACGTTTAGGCCTTCCGTCCACACTAACACGCGGATCGGATCCACCGAATCCGTTTAAGTTTGGAAATGCTGTTGAAAGTGGATAAAAAGGAATCCGTATATCTTTCGTGCTAGTGTGTACGGTCGGATGCGGATAAAAATGGAAACGATGACGTCAGCTGTACTAAGTGTTCAATAACACGTTCTCGCGCGAAAACCAAACATCAAAACAAACATGACGGACCAAAATTTGCTTCTATTGTTACTCGCTTGTTTGGAATTAAATGTCGCTCTATTTAATATATTATTATTCTCACATAGAAGAACAACGAATCTTATGAGGGAAATAGCATTTTCTAGGACCTCATATCGGCGAATTGGCTCGAACACACGGAAGATCAGGACAAGAAGATTTTGAAGCTACAAAGAGTGTTTATTTCGTACCGGCGGGAAAACTGATAATAACGCAGGCGCGTCTTTCAGAGCATGCGCAAAAGAACTAACATGCCTCACAGCAGATCCGCAGCGTGTTAGTGTGGACGGTCGGAAACGCAGTGAAAACGGTAGTGTGGACCCGGATCAATCGATGCGTTTTCGGTAAAACGAATCCGCATACTTTTGAATCCGCGTTAGTGTGGAAGAGCCCTAAGATTTGTTAAATAATAGAAAAATCTCTTGCTACAATGTATATGTTATGCGATAAAACAAATGCTAAATGCCACAGTGTATGGCGCGTTTATCCTATCAAAATTCAATTCGTTAGTCGTTTTTACATACGACCTTCGTTTTCCAATTTCAGCATTCCTTTTATTCAACCTGAAGATTCGTTTTTCAATTTCAGTATATAACCACCTCTGCCCGGATCTCCTCCATAACTACGTAAAGGGCTGAATTTCCTTTTAGGATTCTTCTTATTGTCCTTCCATCCCATACACGAGGTGACCCATGAAATTGAAGAGTACTATCCTGGTTACTGATTGATGCACAAGAAAACCTGCCCAGTTAAAGAGAAAAAAAAGAAAAAAAAACAATCTTTCTAAAAGGAAAATTTAGTAGTACGAATTTATTCTTTCTTCTTCTTTGCCTTCCAGGTCAGAGTCCTGGAGCTGGTTATTAAAAAATCATAACTCAAATTGCAAATCAACAGAATTTACCTCCGACCTCAATGAATCAAATTTTAATCAACTCAAATTCCTAAAAATAACTTTTCTTTACCTTCCATGTAAGATAGGAAATACTTCTTGAATTGTTTTCCTCACTGCCTCCTCTGACATGCTTTTGGAAAATTGGACCTGTCTTTTGTACTGTCCAGTCTTTCTCATTCTTGCCATCTCAATAGTGGTTGGCATGAGTATTTTACCATTCCCTTGAACCAAATCTTCTTTCTTCAACAACATCACATTTTTAGCAAAAACGTCCCCTCTCGT